CATTGTCATTGTCATTGTCATTGTCATTGTCATTGTCATTGTCATTGTCATTGTCATTGTCATTGTCATTGTCATTGTCATTGCAAATGCGTTTTTTTAAATGAGAATAGTATCGATTTTTTATCATGTTTGCTGGTTTTTTCATTTATTGAGACATTTTGATCCATGTTTTTCGTAGAATTGTAATATGTATTGATCCTCTTTCTCGGTGAACGGTTCGAGATTTACTATAATTACAATTAACGTAAAGAATATTTTTTGGTTCTTGATTGTTGAATACTTGCAATTAGTGTCCAAATGAGTCACCCATCTATATTTTTATAAATAGATATGCTTAATGTCTTTATTTTAATAAAATTGAGAATATAACAATTAATAATATACCTCTCTCGACATTGCTTTCCATCGCGCCGACCGTACTTTTCATCAATTGCTTTCCAATGTTTGTTACCCATTATTCTAATCAACGCTAATAAATGTTCATCTTCCTATTACAAATTTTCATTTTAATTATCCTGATTTCTAAAGTTAAATTCGTTAATTGATTTATACATAATTAATTTACTTCTTTTGACCAAGGCCCAGTTTGGCAGGTTCTATTCTCATCCGGATGATTCTTGGTTTTAGGTGAAGAGGTATTATCGTTAACGGTATTCATTGTAGTTGAATGAGATAATAATTGACGAGCAGGATTTTGTTGTCGCGTGTTAGTAGATATTATTCAAGTATATTTATAAACATGTAAAGTCTAACAAGAGCAAAATAATTGATTCTTTAATCTAGAATTAGGAGAACAAACTACTAATATATCTGTTTTCTAGACGTGTCAGTATTCTTCTAAAAAAAATGAATATTAAATTTAGTCAAAATTCGTGTTTTCGCGTGTTAGATACCAGTTTTTCTTTGGATTTCAATTATTCACAAAAGTTATAAAGGAATAATAAAACAGAAAGAGAAAGAAAATAAATTTATCCTCAAATGAATTTATTTTTTTGGAATGTTTCACACCCCCCCCCCCCAATCATCGGATTCGTTTTAACAAAGGTACCAGACAACTTCATAAGTAATTTAGTATCACATAAGTAATTGATTACCTATGTAATTGAGTATTACCTATGTAATAATAACAATATATAAATATCGTCACATTACTGAACTAACATATATCGATATTGTATAATAGGTATAGTGACTCACACAAGAAATGGAACACGCGATCAAAAATTTCTAGAATTTTTATCTTCGCAATATTACTCCAAACAAAATGAAAAAAAGTATTCATTTTGAACTACAAGGCCTCTAGTATTTTTTAAAAATATTTTGACAAGATTATTTTAGTCAATATTAAAATTTTCAATTAGTAAATTTCTCACATTGTAGAACTTTTTTTCTATGACGGATTCAAATTTGGACCACTAATTAAAAATGTTATACTCTACAAAATCCGCCTATGCACCAATTTTCACAAAAACTGGCTCAAAATTTATCGATATTTAAGATCCCGAAGGTTCGAATCTCTGCTAGGAGCATTAATTCGACTATTTATTTACTAACAGAGATTTGAACCAATTTTTGTGAAAATTGGTACATAGGCAGATTTTGTAGAGTATAAAATTTTTAATTAGTGATCCAAATTTGAATCCGTCATAAAAAAAAAGTTCTTCAATGTGAGAAATTTACTAATTGAAAATTTTGATTTAAATTACCCAGGTTTACAAAATTGACTAAAATAATCTGTTGTCAAAATATATTAGAGTGCTTGTAATTCAAAATGAGTACTTTTTTTATTTTGTTTGGAATGATTATTGACGAAGATAAAAATTCCAGAAAGTTTTGATCGCGTGTTCCATTTCTTGTGCGAGTCACTGTATATGTAGTTCAAAAGAATTACGTAGTTGTTTCCAATCTGTGGAAATAAATTATAAAAAAATCAATTTAAAGCCGCTAAGTGAAATTAAAACTGGGTAATAAAGAACATATACATACCCCACGATAATATCTGTAAACTCCGAGCTACGTATTAAGATTATCAACATTAATCAATAAAATAGCTTATTAAACATATAACGATATAGATTATGCATACTTTTTTCGGAGTGTTGTAATCTCTTAACTGAAGCTGGACCATTATTGTTATGACTCCTTTTCCTTTTCTTAGATTCATTATTATTATCATTGCATTTTTTTGAGAATAATGTCGATTTTTTATCATGTTTGCTGGTCTTCATTTTTTGAGACATTAATGCCCATTTTGTTCCATGTTTCGTAATATGTGTTGATCCTCTTTTTCGGTGAACGGTTAGGAATTAATTATACATAAAAAATATTTTTTTTTGGTTTTTGATTAATACTTGCAATTAGTGTCCAAATGAATATTTTTATAAATATATATGCTTAACGTCTTTATTTTAATAAATTGAGAATACAATAATTAATAATTAGCAGTAAGTACCTTTCTCGACATTGCTTTCCATCGCGCTGATCATGCTTTTCACCAATTGCTTTTCACTCTTTGTTACTCATTGTTCTAATCAATTCCTTCAAAAGATCATCTTCCTATTATAAATCTGCATTTAATTATCCTGTTTTCAAAATTTAAATTCATTAATTGATTTTATATATAATTAATTTACTTCTTTTGACCAAGACCCACTTTGGCGGGTTTTATTCTCATCTGGATGATTCTCAGCTTTAGATGAAGAGGTATTATTGTTAATGGTAGTTGAATGAGATGAAGATAATAATTGAGGAGCAGGATTTTGTTGTCGCGTATTAGTAGATAACATTTATAAACATGTAGTGTTGGCTAAAAGTCTAACAAGAGCAAAATAATTGATTCTTTAATCTAGAAGTAGAAAACAAACTACTAATATATCTGTTTTTTAGACGTGTCAGTATTCTTCTAAAAAATGAATATTAAAATTTAGTCAAAATTCGTGTTTTCGCGTGTTAGATACCAGTTTTTCTTTGGATTTTAATTATTCACAAAATTTACATAGTTATATTAGGAATAATAAAACAGAAGGAGAAAGAAAATAAATTTCTCCTCAAATGATTTATTTTTTTGGAATAAGTTTTCACAATCCCCTCCATCGGATTCGTTTTAACAAAGGAACCCGGAAATTTCATAATTTAATATCACCTTATGTAATACGTAATAACAATCTATAAATATACAATATATACTAGTACAGTAATGTGACGATATGTACGTAGTTCGAAAAAGTGACGCACAGCATCAAAAGAATTGGTTTAGAATTGCATCAACTGTCATTTTATCTTCCTTGACTAACGTTTTATTTTCGCTTTCAACTGGATTTGTTTCCAATCTGATGGAAAATTAAAAAATAAATTTAAAACTATAGTGCGCGCAGTCTAAAGCCAGCCAGTACTTTAAACTATAAAGGATTTGTATCCAAATACTTTAATCACAAAAAATTACGTTGTTAAATACCTTTTACTATAATTTAACGTATTTTTTGGTACAGTACAACATTAATTAATGAGCAGTTATAATCTTTCGGAGGTCACTTTCACTAGAAATGATCCAATTTTGGGGATCGGTTAAAGCGTAGTCCATCCGATAATCTGTCCGAAAAACAAACCAATGAGGATGCGTAAATTTTAATCAAACCGGCAAAACAAATTTGAAGCAAAGACAAAAAATGAAAAAATACTGAAAACAGGAGCTTAAATCTTTCTTGGAGTACTAATTAAAAATGTCGGGAAGGCAATTTTAAATGTAACCTTGATCTCCTTTCCAACCCTAACCCTAACGTTGAAATTACCTTTTAATATTTTTAAGATATATCACGTGATAGACTACGCTTTGAGCATGGCTATATCACATAAACAATTTCTGATTGGTTGGATTTCTTCACGCAAAAATACATGATTGGTTTTCTCATGTTTCACACAGAAACATGATTCACATTATATGTATATTCTAAATACAACATTTTCATTGGCTTCATGTGACTCATACATGCATTTCAAATTTCAGCAGTGGCGCAGCTTTTGATGGTTTTAGACTAGTGAAAATTAAAACTGGAAACTCCGACAGACGAGAACGAACTTCAACTCCTATTATGTATGAATCATGATTAATAAAATAGCTCAAAACTACCTAAATATAAAAATATTATACAAACCCTTTTCGGAGCATTGAAGTTTTTCTGGGATTCGGACCATTGTTGTCAATATTTCTTTTTCTTGTTATTGTCATGGTCATTGAAAATGCATTGTTTTGATAAATGAGAATAGTATCGATTTTTTATCATGTTTGCTGATCTTCCCATTTTGTTCCATGTTTTTCGTATAATTGTAATATGTGTTGATCCTCTTTTTCGGTGAACGGTTCGTAATTTACTATGCATAATATTAACATAAAGAATATTTTTTGGTTCTTGATTGTTGAATACTTGCATTTAGGATCCAAATGATTTACCCATCTATATTTTATAAATAGATATGCTTAATGTTTTTATTTAATAAAATTGAGAATACATGTATAACAATTGATAATATACCTCTCTCGACATTGCTTTCCATCGCGCCGACCATACTTTTCACCAATTGCTTTCCAACGTTTGTTATCCATTGTTCTAATCAACTCTAATAAAAGTTCATCTTTCTATTACAAATCTGCATTTAATTATCCTGTTTTTTAAGTTAAATTCGTTAATTGGTTTATACATAATTTACTTCTTTTGACCAAGGCCCGATGTGGCGGGTTTCATTATCATTCTCGTTTTGAGATGACATAAAGGGAAAAGAAAATATATGAATTTATTATTTGTTTTTTTTTTTGGAAAGAAAAGAGATACAATGCATCAGATTTTTTCTTTCCGTTTTAACCATTAAAACACACGAAAACAAAGGAAATTGACAAATTTCCCAAATAGTATTATTATACGTCGTTTCGGAATTGATGTGCGTCGTTTGGAATTCCAAAATGACGTAGCTGTTATATTATTAATGTACATCTTTCGAATTCAAAATTGACGCGCGTTGTTTTGGAATTCCAAAACGACGTATATAATACATCAATCCGTGGATCCTCGAAAATGTGAAAATAACGAAACAGATATTCCGGGTAGCATAAGCCATCAACCTGGCATTAAAATCCAACACGCAAAAAAAAAAAAACGAAATTATTAAAAGGTGATTTTCGTTTTTTTTTCGCGTGTCAGATTTGAATGTTGGGTTTATGGCTTATACTACCTGTAATATACATTTCGGGCTCATAACGATAAATAACTGCTGTCCCTTAACACGTATTTGTCACATGCTTTTTATTACTGACACAAACGTCATTTTGGAATCCCGAAACGACGCACATCATTTTGAATTCCGAAACGACGTACGTATAACAGTCTGAAATTTTATTTTCGTTTCTAATCCCATTCTGTGGAAATAAATCATAAAAAATTAAAGCTTGGTAATAAAGAACATACCAACGAGAGAAATCTATTAAGATTATCTTAATAACATCTTAAGATTATCGTTATACATACCCTTCGGAGTTCTTAATTTAAGACGGACCATTTTTGTTATTATTCCTTTTCCTTTTTTAGATTCATTGTTATCATCGGCATTGTCATCGAAAGTGCATTTTTTTTTTGATAAATGGGAATGATACCATGCTAGCTGGTCTTCTCATTTCTTGAGACATTTTGTATGTTTTCTGATTATAATTTATATAAAGTTGAATACTTGCAAATGACTTACCCATTTATCTTTTTATAAATATCTATGCTTAATAGCTTTATTTTTAATAAAATATAATAATTAATAATTAAGTAAATACTTCTCTTCCCATCGCGCCGACCATGCTTGTCACCAATATTTTTTACCCATTGTTTTAATAAAAGATCATCTTCCTATTACAAAATTGCATTTTAATTATTCTGTTTTTCTAAAGTTAAATTTGATAATTACTTCTTTGGACCAAGACCCAGTTTAGCGGGTTCCATTATCATCTGGATGATTCTCAGTTTTAGATGAAATATTAGCGGTATTTATCGTAGCTGAACGAGATGATGATAATTGGAGAGCAGAATCTTGTCGTGTGTTAGATCTCATTCTTTTTAGATTTCAATTGTTCGCAAATGTTATACAAGTAATAATGAAAATAGAAGAAGCAAAAGGGAGATATACTTTTTTTCTCTTGAATTTATTTGTTTTTTGGGGTAAGTTTCACAAACCCTGGAAGAAAAGAGATACAACGCGTCTGATTATTTTCTTTCCGTTTTCACAAGTAATTTAATACAACCCTATGCAATAATAACAATCTATAACGATAAATATACAATATATATGCTAATACAATAATGTAAGGATAATATATATGTAGTTCTACGAAAAAAGTGATGCACAGCATCAAAAGAATCAACTAAGCTTCGTTTAGTATTGCACCAACTGACATTCTAATTTTGCTGGAAACACTTTTTTCGCTGGAAACACTTTTTCTGTTGGAAAATTAAAAAAAATTAAAACCACTAGTGATAATTAAAACTGGATAATAAAGAACATACCCCACGGCAAGAACTGCAAACTCCAATAGACGAGAGTCGTTATGGTGAACTTTAACTTCTATTATCGTTATGATTAATAAAATAACTCAAAGCTACCTAAATATATAAATGTTATACATACCCTTTTCGGAGCATTGAAGTTTTTCTGGATCCGGACCATTGATGTCAATATTCCTTTTTCTTTTATTGCTATTATTATTGTTAATATTCCTTTTTCTTTTCTTATTATTATTGTCATTATCATTGTCATTATCATTGTCATTATCATTGTCATTGTCATTGTCATTGCAAATGCGTTTTTTTAAATGAGAGTAGTATCGATTTTTTATCATATTTGCTGGTTTTTTCATTTCTTGAGACATTAATGCCCATTTTGATCCATGTTTTTTGTAGAATTGTGATATGTATTGATCCTCTTTTTCGGTGAACGGTTCGAGATTTACTATAATTATAATATACATAATATTAACATAAAGAATATTTTTTGGTTCTTGATTGTTGAATACTTGCATTTAGCGTCCAAATGATTCACCCATCTATATTTTTATAAATAGATATGCTTAATGTCTTTATTTTAATAAATTGAGAATATAACGATTGATAATATACCTCTCTCGACATTGCTTTCCATCGCGCCGACCGTGCTTTTCACCAATTGCTTTCCAATGTTTGTTACCCATTGTTTTAATCAACGCTAATAAAATATCATCTTCCTATTACAAATTTGCATTTTAATTATCCTGATTTCTAAAGTTAAATTCGTTAATTGATTTATACATAATTAATTTACTTCTTTTGACCAAGGCCCAGTTTGGCGGGTTCTATTCTCATCCGGATGATTCTTGGTTTTAGGTGAAGAGGTATTATCGCTAGCGGTATTCATTATAGTTGAATGAGATGTTGTTGACAATTGGAGAGCAGAATCTTGTCGTGTGTTAACAGATATCATTATTCTTTTTTTGATTATAAACACTATATTTTTGTGAGAAAGATATTACGTTTTATTATAATGGAGAGAAGAATTTTACAAACTAAATAAATCTAAATTTGCGTGTTTTTTTTTTGGTATTATTCAAGAAAAAAAAAGCGAGAAGATATAACTGACTCTAATAATATCCTTTTAAAAATGAAACATAAATTAACGACTCCTGCTCATATATAAAGATAAATAAAAATTTTATTTCAATACACAACAAAAATAATAATAGTTATTGTTTAATGTCGTTCGCGTCTGTTTGATTCTCCATTCTATAATTATTTTAACGAATCATTTACCGTCAAATGCCCATTATCATTTTAATATTGGCCATTAACCATTATAAAATAAAAATAAACAAACAATTATTATTATTGAAATATTAGATAATAAAGGAAAACCGCTAAAAAGAGTCACATATAAATCTTCGCTGAACGGTACGTACGTGTCGATCATTATGATTTAAATGGTATACGTAATGATAGGTTATTTTTTTGATCTAACGCTCGATGGGTTTGTTCTATTTGAACTTTTATAGTATTTTAAACGGGATTTTATTATTTTAATTTTAATTCCAAACGCTTGATTTGCAGCTTCGATATAGATTTAATATTACATAGTTCACCTTTTTTCCCTGTTCCATTGTTAAATTCAAATTTTCTTGAAAAAATTATCGAGAGTAAAAAAAAGCTCTTTATTAGGTTAACTATACCAAAAATTCTTTCAAACTAACTTGAAAAAGTTACATCAGTGCTATTATTCTGTTGAACTAACTCGAAAAAGCAAACTAAACAAAAGACCAAATAACTGTCTCCTTTTATTAGTTATCGTTATTGTTTTACTTTGATTGTTAAGACTCGGATGCTATTAGTTTTTGCTTAAAAAAGGGTTTTTTATTAATTCCCAACGTTCGTTATGGAAGAATTCTTCATCAGCTATTGTTCTTTTCCAGCATAAACCGAAGCTGCGTTTTTTGCATGAAGTTTGGATCTTTCGTTATTATTTCGTTGTTATAGTGATCAACTTAAATTCCATGGGACGAATACGATTATGTCGAACAACCAAAGACCACTGGTGTGTTAATGCAATACCACTTATATGGAGACATAGCTTGAGAGAGCCGCATATGCATAGATTACAACTCTTAGCTTCGATGAACAGAAACCAGCATTTCAATATTAAGCGAGAGAAATTTTATTCGAGTATGGAGGATTGGTAAGCAATCAGTATAAAACAAATTTGTCATAATGTACTAAAGGCTGGATTGTTATGAAGATAATTCGCCTACGGATGTTGAAAATTCGCTTTCTGTGGGTAATTGACATACTTTCAAATACCAAATACCAAAAACACTGAAAAATTCTCAACCATCTGCTTCGATATTTCAGTTCTCGAGATAGAATCTCTTTATTATTGTGGCTTTAGAAAAGTTCTTGCAAGGGTCAAAGAAATTAGTGTTTACAGGTAATAAGATCATTTCGAAGCAATTTAAATATTGGAATTCGAAGTCGATGATTATGGGGAGATTTGACTAGGGGTTAAAACTAAAATTGAAGTGATTCATTCTGCTAGAATCGATGACTATTTTTAAATCAAATAGTTTCTCACAGTGGAATATACTTAGACTTATTATATGAAAATGAAAGAATCAACTACAATGTTTCTAATACAAAATTTTAAGCGTGTTGTTAAGAAAGGGTATATGTTGTGTATTAGCTATGACGGAAGATGATGGATTATTGAATAATAAAAAGGAAATTAAATTACAAAGTCTTTTCGATGTAAGAAATAAAATTATCTATTCATTAACGTGAATGTTAAAATATCAGACTGTCCCTTTACTTAGTTTAATACCGTTTGACCGTCCAAGTAATTAAATGAATTAAGAAAATCAAATAGTCAAAACTCGAATCTTTTTTTTTAGTTCCGATTCATAAATATTTGAAGTTGAATAAGTTGTGAATGTTTCTATTTGTTATTAGTTAAATTCGCATACGCGTCGGGATGTTGTTGCTCTAGTTGTTTACATATCGGTGGTCGATTTTGAAGGTCACTAGGAATCCATCCCTCTTGCTATTAAATTAATAATAGTAGATCATAAGCTAAATAAATATCTCACAATTTAAAACAATAACAATCAAAGTAATACTCACCACACCAAGCTGATAATCCCAAGTAGGATTAACATGATTCTCCGTCTTCCAAGTCCAATAAAACCACCCTCCACCATTTGACTCGAACGCTTCAATCTGAGCAGATGCAAATTGCGTATAGAATTCTTTCTTCTCCGCGCTCCAGTTCTTGTAATCGTTTGCGCCAGCACAGGTACAATTGGGACATTTGCCTTCGTATTTAGAAACCTCTTGAACTCCATTCAGGTAGATGGCACAGTCATCGGTTGAAATGGTCCATTCACCGGTGATTGTTAGACCAAAGTCAACGTTACTTTGTGCAAGTGCTTTTACCCATGCAACACAAGGGAAAACGAGTTGAGTGGTTTTTGGAAGCATGATAAGGATTGGATCGAAGATGAGATAACTATGTGTCTCTGTATAACAATAGAATATTTAATAATATATTCATAGAAATTAAATGACTGGTTATGATTTACTCACCCAATATAACTCTCTCATAACCTTTCATGAATCCTTTCCATGAACTTAGTCCGGCGAAGCCATCATGATAAACGAGCCAAGGAGTGAAATCATTGCCGGTACCGGTAATATCGCGGATAATTTTATTGGCGTCTAAATAAAATTGTTGTACATCACCGATTGTTAACTGCGTACTAATAAAAGGTTCATTTAACACGCCAAAAATTGGAATGACATGTTGATATTGAGGCTGATTGAAGAATGTGACTAAAGTTTGAAGGATGCGTAGAGTACGATCTGCATTCGCTTTCCCATTAGGTCCTTTGATCCAATCAATAGTTCCTTTTTTGCCTTTTATAAGTAATTAATTAATTATTTAGAATAAATGTATTTGTAACAACTGTTATTTGTAACAACTGTTATTTGTAACAACCGCATTTTAATTTGCTAATTAGAACCTGAGTTAGGATTAAGATTCTGAATATGTGATTGGTTAATATTGAAGTTGTTACACGTAACAGTTGTTGCATTCAATTATTTATTATTTATAATTACAAAATAAATGAAAATAATTCCATACCACTATGATTCCAACCATTTTGACTTCCTGGCGCAGCATGAAGCTCCACCAATACCCTTAAGCCATATTTTCTTGCCCAACCAATACCTTTTAGCAAATAATTCCAACTAAGTTTTGGTACATATGGTTCATCAGAGGCGACTTCAACTGCCCAAAATCCCAGTGGAATCCGAACATGATTCAATCCAAGTTTGGCTATTTCGGCGAAATCTTCCTCAGTAATAAAAGTGGAATAATGTTTGTTTAATGTGGCATTGGCTTTTTCTGGTCCTAAACTAGAACACAAACTCCACTCGTCTATGATATTCCCCCCGAAATAAGATGGTGTAATAAAAGGTTCCATAACAAGCCAGCCACCAATATTTACCCCTCTTATTGGTTGTTTGCCATAAGCAAAAGGCTGGTTTAACGGTGGCGTGTGACTATTTGGAGCGTTCGAGTCGTCGAAACTATCAGGTGAAAGTGGATTGGTATTATTGTCTCCATTACCGATTACTGAATTGTCTGATTTCCCGGAGGAATTATTGTGGGCTGGTTTATACCACAAGAAGTAAGCAGCTACTGCTGCACCACCCAACGCTAACACGAATGCAAGAAGGAATTTCCACCAATGACGACCCCAAAAACCTTTATTCGAGGTTTTCACCATTAAATTGGTGTTTGATTCCTCTTTGGAAGAATCAGAGTCACTCGAGCTCATTTCAATTCAGTTTTTTTCTATAATTACAAATATAAATATAATGAGAAAAAATTACATAAAGCAAGCAAAAAAATAGCGTGTAAAAAACCACTATTATTTTGTATAGTTTTGAGACACTTAGTGAATTGTGTATGCATTACTGCATACACTTACTTAATGATACGCGCTGTTCTTAATGCTACGCGTTGTTCTCTTTTCTAGACTAATCGAGAATGAAAAGGTGTAAAATAAATGAAGAGTAGGGAAAGAAAGACCGCGTGAAATGTTATTTTCGTTTTAAAGAGAAGGAAAGAGTTTCGACTCCTCATAATTTATATTTTGGAAATAATGATAAGGTTTCTTAACCGAATTTGGTTTTTGTAATCAAAAACGCCGCGAAAATGTGTAATTATTTACGTTATTACGTATATTCAACGTTAATGTGTGTATCGGTATGCATGAAAAATTGAAAAAAAAAACGAGTTAAATTAATATTTAGCGTTAGTGATCATGACGCCAAATTGTATTTAGTAATTAAATTGCGTGATACAGTGACCTACGATCTCTGTGAGTGCAGCTATGAACACCATCCATTTTAGTTAGATTTGATGCCTTATTTAGAGAACGGTCAATGTGTAGTTCATCACGTGATATATCTAAAAAATGTTAAAAGGTAATTTTAACGTTAGGGTTAGGGTTGGGAAGGAGATAAAATCTATATTTAAAATTGCCTTCCCGACATTTTTAATTAGTGCTCCAAGAAAGATTTAAGCACCTGTTTTCCGTATTTTTTCATTTTTTGTCTTTGCTTCAAATTTGTTTTGCCGGGTTGATTAAAAATTTACGCATCCTCATTGGTTTGTTTTTCGGACATGTTTACTCTTGTGTTCACTGTATCACTTGATGGGTGTCCTCTTCTTCTCTAGTCTAGTGTCCCCATCGCCTACATCTAACTCCCCACCTGATTTGGATTAGTGCGATTATCAATACCTAATTTGACTTATGTTATGTAATCTTCTATCGCTATTGGATCCCATTTGTTTATGCAACACACATTATGCGATATGAAGAAATCAACACATCAAGTATTATCGTTATCGTTATACAGTTAGAGCACTCAATATAGCAATGCTATTAATATTCTCTCAATAACTTTCATCACTAAATTGAGTCCCGACTGCTGGTCATTTATTGTTATTTGAGTTTTACGAACTGCTGCTTCTTGTTGAAGTATGAGGCGTGGATTGTTACTATTCAAGTTTTTTTTAAATATGTATATTTTAATTTAAAAAACAGCTTGAATATACCGATATTTATGAAAATAAACCCACATCCAATAATCATATTTCAAATAGCAATTATTTTACAAACGTAGAGCAGAATTTGCAAGATACAGTGCCCGACAAAAGTATCCCCGCACCGATAATTTTTGATAGCTCATGTGTAGGTCCCTAAAATTTTGTATGCATATAGTACACCACAAACGCTGATCATTGATACCTTTTTATTCTATATCGGGTATTGTATGTTCATAAACTTTCGCATCCCAATATCCAATGATCCGATTTGAACAAAAAAATACTACTATTCGATTCGTCTAGTCGAGACGAATCGAACAGTAGTATTTTTTTTGTTCAAATCAGATCACTGGATGTCGAAATATTGCATCTTAAAGTAGATATTAACAAAAATGAATTGATCAATTTAGGACGTGATATCTCGATCTCCCGTAATATGAGTCAAATAAAAATAATACCATTCAATTCGTCTTGACTAGACGAATCAAACGGTATTATTTTGTTCGAATAGGATTACGGGAGATCGAGATATCACGTCCTAAATTGATCAATTCATTTTTGTTAATATCTACTTTAAGATGCAATATTTCGACATCCAGTGACACAATTTGAGCGAAAATACCATGACAAATCGAATGGTAATATTTCCGCTCAAATCGGATCACTGGACGTTGAGATATTATGTCCTAAAGTGAACGATTTATTGTATTTGGAGTATGAAAAAGGTATCGATGATCAGCGTTTGTGATGTACATGTACTATGCATATAAAATTATCGGTGCGGGGATACTTTTGTCGGGCACTGAACATTACTTTCTACTGATTAATCATAAAACCGTCTTATTATAATATCGAATAAAAAAGGTATTACATATATTGATTTTAAGAACTAGAAATATAATTGTGATTATTCCTAATACCTCTGTTTTTTAATGTTATTCTTATCAGAGATAGGGATAATACATTCATCATATAAGGAAATGTTGGATTTTCTCTATCTCTGCATCCATAATCACTTCCAGGTTAGTGTTAGTTATCCGATTTCGATCCGTTTGGTCATACTGATTCCAAATTCTCTTAATAGCTCCAACCCAACCTTCAAAAATAACGTCAGGAATATTTTTGGATTCCTTTTCCTTTTGATCAAAAATAACGTGTGAAGTTGGTGTTAAGTAGAACTTTTGATATACAGCAAGAACATGCTTGCAAGCCATTCCACGAAACTCAAAGTTTGAGAAGCATCTATGTACATCTCAATTCATTTTGGTTAGATTAATTTTTATAATCTGCATTGTCTTATTTAGCATGTTTAGTATTTATTCACTATATCACTTGAAATGCATATACATACCCTTGCATATATATTATATAATATAACTTTGTCACAGCTTACTTTATAGTGTGTGATGATTTTGAACTCCATTTGCTTTTATTACTTTAGAGAATGATTTTCTTCTTGTCTTTGTTGATTTGTTATTATTCTATTATTATAAATTTTTTCATTTCAAGTTGAACTTTAAGTTTTTTAAGTTATTTATTATGTGTTAGGTATTGTTGATAACTTTTGATAATCATTTTTGCATTTGTTATTAGTATTTCTTTGTGATTTCTTTTATTTTAATCTCTGATCAAATAAGTAATTTATTGATTGATTGTTATTAGTGAAAAGTTTATTGTATTTAATGATTATTTATTATATATTAAATATCATTAATAATTTTTAACAGTTATTCAATATTGTTACCATTTTACTTGAATTTTAAATATATTATTATTATTCTTATAGTGATAGTTAAAGTATTAACTAATTATAGTAATTAATTAAGAATTGTATAAGAGTGATAATAGTAACTGTATGTATTTGAGAGAGTTGGATACTAGATGGTTGGGAGAGAGTATCAAAAAGAAATAGATTCTAATACTTTCACTAGTTAGATAAGTATTTTATAATTCAAAAGTACAAATGATTTATTAAAATACAAAAGATGACTTCCATTAATTGGGTAAGTCAAAGTTAAATAAATAATAAATCAAAAATAACAATAAGTAAAAGATTATTTAGAAGTATTAATTAACTTCTATACTTTTATTACTTTCAAAATTATTACTGAGATTCTTGTTATTCTATGTTAAATTACATCTGTTTAAATACATATAAATGTAATACGAATTTACATGATGAGTAATATTACTTAAAAATAGTTATAAGATAAATTTGGAATAAGTGTAATGCCAAGAAATGATAAATGTAATACTAATTTAATCTAAATGATACAATTAAAATTAGAGTGATATTAGCACTACATTAATTAATGTTAAATGAAATTAATTTAAAATAGAATGAATTTAGATCTAATAATATTATAATAAAATAAATTA